GGGCCGTCCGGCGCCGGGGAGCGAGCTCGGGCCGCGCGGCAGGTGCCACCGGGGCCGCGGGCGGCCGCCGTCCCCCCGACCCGCCGCAGCCCGCCCCGCGGGAAGTCGCCCCCCGCAGCGCGGAGACCCCCTTTTCCGCCTTCTCGGACGGCGTCGCCACCGGGGTCGCCGGGGTAGGGTCCGGGAAGGGCGCAGCGCCGTGACCCGCCATGGCTCAGGCGGCCAAGCAGCTGAAGAAGATCAAAGACATCGAGGCGCAGGCCCTCCAGGAGCAGAAGGAGAAGGAGGAGTCCAACAGGAAGCGCAGGAACCGCTCCCGTGACCGCAAGAAGAAGGTACGAGGGGGCGGTGGCGACAACGGCGGCTGGAGGTGGCCGCTGGGGAAGGGGCGACACGGGGGCGGCGGCGCGGGCCGGGGCTTGCGGCCGCCGCGGGGGTCGGCGCGGGCGCCGGGCGGCCGGGAAGAGCACAGGGCAGGTGGAAGGGCGAGCGGGCGCCGCGAGGCCGAGGGCGCGCAGAAGCAGCCGCGGACGCCGCTCAGCACCGAGGACAGACGCCGGCGGCGCGGCCGCCCGGGACCAACTTTGCTGCTGCGGCGCGCGCTCCGAGCCCGGCTTTCCGGGAGGGCTGGTCCGGGTCTACGCGGCCCGCGCATCCCCCGTGACCGCTCTCCGGGCGCGGGATCACCTTTCCCAGGGCGCCGAAGGAAGGGGCTCCCGCCCTTCCGCGACCCTCCGCGAGCCGGAAAGCGCCTTTCCTGACCCGGTCTGGCGGCGTTAAGGAAGGCGCTCCCCGCCCCCACCCCGGCACTGGGCAGCGTCCGCGAGGGGCGTCCCTGTGGGGGCTGGCGCGGTGCTGCCCTCCCGGGCCGAGGGCGGCTCTGCGGACGGGGCGCGCGTAGGTGGCTTTCTGGGAGGGGCGTGGAGACCCCCAGGAAGGCGACAGTCGCCGTTTTTAGCCCTTCCTTTCTGGCCTGGGGTCTTCTTACTCTATCAGAGCGCCTTTGGAGCCACTTTCGGCTGGACACGTTGCCCAGGTGGAAGCACCTTGACCGCGAGGGGAGGCCGGCGCGGCCGTGACTCTGGACGCGGATGAAGCCCAACTCCGGCTTCAGGACGCCCGTCGTGGCCCGGGAGTGGAGTGGGCCCCCGGGGTCCAGGGCGGGGGCGCTGGCCTTGGTGGGAAGAAAACATTTTTCCTGAAATTGTCTCTTTCTGAGAAGGAAGTCCGGAGCTCGCGGCAGACAGCAGAGTTGGGAGCAGGCCGGCTGTGGGTCGCGCCTCCCTCGGGCGATCCGCAGGGCCCACAGGGAGCCTTGTCGCAGAGAGGGGAGCCGGGGCAGAGTCGCCTCGGATCTCCACAGGAGTAACCGCTCTGGAGTTTCCGTGCCCTTCGGAAGGCAGCGGCCCCTCCCCCCTTGAGAAATTGCCATCTTGTGTGTAAACAGTAGTTTCTCAAAGGCACCCCCTTTAGCAGGACGGAAAAGGGGCCTTCCCCAAGCCGAGGGTGAATCAGAGTTTGGGCTGGTGCCACTTGGAGAATTCCGTCAGGTCCCTCTGCCGGGGTCTGAAATACCAGAGCCCATCTCGTGAGTCAGGCGGGGAAGTCTGCTTGAACGGCGGTGCTCACCCACTGTCTTGGCATGAACGTAAACTGCTTGTCAGGAAGGAGCGCTCTGGATTTGCATTCCTGCCTCTTGCTTCTGGAGCCAAGACAGCCCTCTCCAAAACGGCTCATTCAGTGTTTTTATCCCACTTCTTGCTCTCGAGCTTCCTCCTTGACGCTCCTGATACCATAAATAATTTTTTTGAGCAATCGTCAAAGCAAAATTCTCTCTTCTTTTCCTTTTTTGATTCTTTTCCATTCTGCAAAATTCCCTATAGTTCTGAATTCTGACTGTATATGAGACACGCTTATAAAAGTGGCAATTTCAATATTCTTTTTATTTTGGCCTTATTCTTTGCATTTTTGGTGAACTTTATTTCTGTTTTTTAGTGCTAGATGATAATATGTTCCCCTCCCCACAAATGGTGTTATCTTGTTTTCCTAGCTGGTCGCAGCATGCTGCGTCAGTAGGTGCCCAAAACCTTTCATACGGATTTTCATTATTTCATGCAGTATTCCGGGGGCTATGATTGCTACAACAACGAGGAAATCTTAATTCGAAGTGATAGCAATGACGTAAACTCTTTTTGGGTGCAGGCGGTGTGGTACGGGGAGGCCGTGGGGGTGCTTTGTTAGTATTTCGTAAGGATTGTGAGTTCTCCAAGCCATTAGGATGGCCTTGAGACCCATCTCAGAGAATGGAGTTGCAGATTATAGCAAAATCTAAAATCACAAGAAGGCAAGAAGGTGGAAGGCCCTAGAGGGAAGGGTGAGGGGCAGGGCTGTGCAGAGAGCAGCATTTGGAGAAAGCTCTTGGAGGGCCCAGTGAGGGCGCTGAGGGCCAGGGGCCAATGTGAAGGTTCATATAAGGTGAAGTCCAACTAAGAGCCATTCTCCACAAATGAAGTAATTTTTCAAGGGAAAGTGTATTAAAATCAAGCAGCTGAGGACTTTACAGTCGGTCTCACAGACTACAGGGAGGCTGTGAACCAGCCTACTTTTCTCATACCAACGTGAGGAAAGAACTTGGTACCTGCAAATGAACATCTCGTGCCAGGGCATTGGCTGGGCATGGGAATGCTTAGCTGAGCCAAGGGCGTTCTGAATCTATTCGAAGGAAAGGTGTCTGTGCCATGCGTAACCTGCCTGGTGGGGACCGACGGTGCGGAACCACATCCTCTCGTGTGTGGAAATAATCAGGTTGTGACTTTGATGACGGTTGCAGTTTTACAGTGGATGATCTTGTGTGCGAAGGCGCTTGCTAGGGGTGCTGAGTGCGACGGGTGCAGGAGGCTGGTGTGACGCACTGACTGACACAGATAGAAGCCACCTCGACACAAGGAATGGAGCTCAACTCCGGAGTGCTGGAAGCGCCAGTACTCTCGTGGGGCTCCGTTCAGCCTGCATCGTGTGCAGACCCGTCCTCCTTAGGTGCTTGTTATTGTGACTGCAGTGCTTTTCTTTAAAAAAATAAAATCCAGCATTTATGACATTTACCAATAAGTCTCCCCTGCTTCTGAAGCTTGGGATGGAAATAAATAAATGGCAGAGCTGGTGTGTAAAGCCGACATTTGCATTAGGAATGACAGCTTTCAGGGAGCCTTAGGCGTAAGCGTGTGCCTGTTTTATGTTTACCCAGAGGCTGAGGTGAGGGGAGGAGAGGAGGGCAGGGAGGTGGAGGGAGAGTGAGGCAGAGGGTGGATGAGGGCAGAGTTCAAGGAAGGAAGAAGAGATGAAGGGTGGGGAGACATATAGGGAGAGGAGGGGCTGACTTCTCAGCCTTGCTTTATGGGATGGCACCATGCCTGCCACCCTCATGCCTGTGGGACCCCTGGGTGGTGTCTCCTGAGATCTCCTTGTCCCGTCTGTCTGCCTGTTTCATCCTCTGACGGTGAAGGGAAAGATTGGGTCCTTGTCACAGCTGTGTACCCAGCACCTAGCCCAGAACCTGCCACGCAGGGAGCATGCAGTAGGTGTTCGTGGAGTGAATGGTCGAATGAGCGTGTTCATATGGTGTTCGTCTCTGCCTACCTTGATGTGTCTTGGTCACCAGCATGTGTTCCTGTGAACAATCCACAGGATTGTTTGACTGACTGTCTTTTGGGGGCACCCGAAGAAAACCTGATACTTCTTTTCTAGTCATTTGCAAAGCAGTGAGGATTTGTAGACAGGCGGTGGGACCATCTATCTTTTGGTGCAGTGAATCCCAGCAGTGAGTGCGTGGTTAGTTCCTCGCAGGGTCTCTGCCGCACTAAATGTCAGGTGGTTTTAGCCATTCGGAACAACAGTGTGCACAGGGCCCCAAGGAGCCAAGCATTTACAGAGAGGGGCAGAGGACGACCACAGGCAGAGAGAGAAGGAAAGCCCAGGAGTGGAGAATGGCCTCCACTCTCTGCTGTGCAGACAGCTCTGTCGGCCTCCGCGGCTGTGCCGACAGCCCTCTGCCTTCCTCTCCGCTGGAGGAGCCCTGCCCAGACTGCAGAGGGATCTGTGGTTGATCCAGTGGTTAGAATCACAGGGCAGATTTTAGGGGGACTTGCATGAGACTGGAGTAGTTGTGACAAGGAAGCTTTAAGGGTCAGGAACGTGGGGAAGTCGGAGGGAGGAAGCAAGGAAGTTAAGCAGGAGAATCATGTTGGCCTGTGACTCCAGTTGCAAAGGGCCTCAAATGTAAACTTCTGCTGTTACCTCCAGTTGGGTTTATGAATTATTCCAAGAGACAGCTGACAGGATTGAAGGAGAACAATGTTCATCACACAGCTTTAAACCTGGGTCCTGTGGCCGAACCATTTCACGAGTAGATGTTGCAGCATGCGTTGGTATTTGCACGTAAAGTCTCTATTTGGCTTTTCAGTAAGCGTAATCATGGTGCATCGCATGTGAATCACTAAAAGTGTTAATTTATTAGTTGTAAGCCTTTAAAACCACAACTTTGGTGCTGCTTTGGCATTTCTTCTTATTTTAGTACATTTGGGAGGTGCTGGCCATGGCTGAAGATGTCCCCTGTGATGGGGACACAAGCCAGCCTGCAGGGTGTCTCCGTTTCTCTTGCTCACTCCGGTAGAGGCTGCCTGCTGGCCAGTTCTGGTTCTCTGCTCTCAAAGTGGCAGTGCTTTTCAATGCCCCAGTTGAGGCTTCTGCCCCATTCTTCTAATAAAAATGAGCTGGCACTACTGAGTGTGCACCACGCGATTCTCATCTGTGTTAGCGGGTCCTCAGCATGCCTCCGGGACACCTCTGCATAGGCCGCCACTCACCGTCACCGACTTCTTCCTCCCTTAGTGTCAAAGCGTGCCCTCTCTACTGTGAGAAAACTTGCTTGGCCTCCCCTCTTCTCGCCCACTTCTCCCTCTGCCTTTGAGTACTTTGGCTTTTGTTCCGGTGTGTGTGCCCGCACATGCGCACGTGCACACGCGCCCGCACACACGCACATGCGCACGTGCACACGCGCACATGCACACGCACCCGCACACGCGCCCACACACACGCACACCGGCTGAAGTTCTTGTTTTATTCCTTCTGTCAAACTGTAAGCTCCTTGAAGCCAGCACTTGAGTCTTTGTGCATAACCACTTCGTAAATATTTATGGCTTGAATCGATTGAGAAGCTACATTTAACTAGTTTAGATTTTTTTTTTCTTAGTTTTTCTATTCAGTTTTGGAAGAGTTGGCCCTAAAGAATTGGTACCAAGTAAATATATTTTTTTTCCCTTGAATTATTCTGGCTGAA